TTGGACACTGTCTATATTATACTCAATTTAAGGCATCAATCCTCCAAAGACTTACTTGCATGCTTAACTTTGATGGGGTCCCACTGAAATCAAGGGTATTACTCACAAAGAAAGTTAGGCACCTGCTTAAGTCTTTGTAGGAATGGTCCTAAGGGTATGTCTTCACTAGCAACATGGCTGTGTAGTCGCGGCACTCCCAGCTCTGTAAAAGAGAGCTCTCCCAGCAAAGTAAAAAACCCACCCCCATGAGGGGAGTGGCTCCCAGTGCTGGTGCACTGTCTACACTGCCACTTTGCAGCACCCAGAGGAGTGTTTTTTCACACCCCTGAGAGAGAAAGTTTCAGCGCTGTAAAGTGGCAGTGTAGACAAGGCCTAAGTAGAAGGCACAAAACAGCAGGTGAATACAAAAAAACAGGAAGAAAAAGGTAACAATGAGATGATAATGATCAGCATGATAACAATGCCCCATCTCAGTCAATCATGTTTTTCTTGCATGATTTCTCGGAGGTCATAAACCGAGTAGTTCTCCAGTCAATCACTGGATGTTCCAGGAAAGAATGAGTAGACAAGATATAAAATTTCTCAAATAAAAGAAAAAATTCTTTAAAAATGAATATTAGGCCTCCCTTAAAAGTCATAACACTTAAAGAGCACATTTTGCTCTTCCTTTGCAGGTCATCCTCAAGATGAGCTGAAAAAGTCTATCTTTGTAAGCATTTTCATAACACATAATTTGTTTGGAATTGCTGGAAACTGTGTCAGGTTTCCTTCATGCCATGGTTTGGGAGTGAAATATCAAAGTGAAATTTCAGTGCATTACTTTCTGATGCCAATTTCTCTGCATTTCTAGCTCTGGAAAACATGCCAACCTTATTAAGTCAACATAACAGCTGCATGGTTCAGCTTGCACACAAAACTTTTGTCTGTTTTCATGAAATCCACTGTCATTTCAACACAGTCTATGCCCAGAAGATAGTCAAAGTACTTCAGAGAGGTGCTAGTGATAGAACCAGCATTACAGTATAGGAGGGCTGCTTTAGAACTATGGGGGATTCTCTGATTATCACCAACTAGAAAGTTCTTGTGATTTTTTTAAGTGTTCCATCATCTCCTCAGATTTATGTGTATCCAAAACTATTAAATAAATTGACTATAACTCTGTGTAGCTAGAGAGAATAAAGTTAACACTAAATATTACTGAGGGACGAAGAAAGCATTTAAATCTGTGACTGATATCCTCGGTGGTGCAAAGCATCCACTAGTCCCATGCATTTCAACACGAGCTGTGGTTGCTCAGTACCACTCAAGGTTTGGCTCCGTATCAACATAACTGAGTGCCCCAAGATAACAAAATCCCAACATATACTTCCGCCTAGTACAAACTTTAACCAATTTGATAAACATCTGGTGCTTTGTTTTATTATAGAATTTAACAGTGACCTTGCTGACATTATATTTCATTCTGTATTCTCCTGAGTTTAAGTGCATGAGATTCTGAAATCAAAGAGCTAGTTAAAGGTGTCTAAACATGCTAAATACAGTTTACAATTCTAACTGTAGGCAGCATTCCTCCTGCTGAACATTATGTGTCAAGGTGGTCCCCTAGCATCAAAGCAACTATTAGCACACTAATATCTTTTGCCCTGACCCAGCATGTGTGCTCTCAGGAGACCAGTAAAAACTAATTTATTTTTCTAACTGGCTTCAGAAGATTGAGTGTTAGGAAATGTGTGTCACCTTGCTTTAAAAATGTGCACTTTTTCCCCTTCACTAAGGAGCACTGCTTCAAGGACTGAAAGATGTCCTGCTGAGAATCACAGCATATTAGGAAAGAACTGAGTAAGCACCGATAATTCCCACTTGTCGAGAGGCATTGCCATATACATTTAATTGAGTACTCCAAATTGATAAAACTATTAAAGGAACACAAGATATTTAACATTCATAATAAAATAAATGATAAAATTATGTAATATGTCAAGTTCAAGACAAAGGTATATTTGAGACAATGGTTTAGAAGTTTGCCTGGAATAGTTTTTAACCAATTCACTTAAGCGTTCATTCAATTATTTACAAGTATCTATACAATTTATTAGAAGACATTATTAATTTGAAGAAGAGGACTTGAGCTTTGCTAATTACAGTTTGTAGGACATTAAATATCCCAAATTTTTTTGTAATGTGAATGCAACATTGTAACTTTGCGACACTGCACCGCTATGAAGTGGCAATGACCAAGCCTAATGTCATCACATAACAACTTTGTTTTAGGAGGAAGTGTTAAAAGTAGCCATTTTGGGGAGTTACAAGGCTCTGGAGATTACAACAGACATCTTATTGGCAGTTTTACTCTGAAACGTGACTATATAAAGATAGTTGTTTGCAGTGTTGTTGTAGCAATGTTGGTCCCAGGATATGAAAAAGACAAGATGTGTGAGGTAATCTTTTATTGCACCAACTTCTGTTGCTAAAAGAGACAAGCTTTTGAGCTCCACAGACCTGAAGAAGAGTTCTGTGGAGCTCAAAAGCTTGTCTCTTTGACCAAGATATTACCCCCATCCACCTTGTCTCTCTCATATAAAAATGACTTTCTTAATCAATAGACCTTCTCCATGAGTATATTCAGAATCGTATGTGCTTACTTTAGTGACATATATATTATATATATATTGCTGTAAGTCCTGCAGAATCCATACTATTGTTAAAACAGAGTAAGCTGGACTCTATTCTTTCTTGTGCATAGATACAAATGTTTACAAAGTTTCATTCAATTACATCTAGGCAACCCAAATGGCAATATGGTTGCACGGGTCTCAATGAGAGTATAATTAGAAGACAATGAGATATATACACGCAACTGATGGCCTAAATAATATGCAGAACTTCTTTTACTGGTGATTACATACAAGAAAGAAAGAGCTCTGAGCTCTCTCAATCAAAACTGAGTTTGCAAGGGTGCAGTTAAGAGATTCTTTTGAATTGTAAAATGAGCATGCTTAATATTAAAACAAAAGCATGGAAAGTCATGACATTTTTACTAACACAGAAAGCCCTCTGAGGATCAGACTGTGTTTCAGTATGCAGTGTAGTTGTAGCCATGTTGGTCCCAGGATATTAGAGAGACAAGGCGGGTGAGGTTTTAACTTTTATTGGACCAACTTCTCTTGATGAGAGGGACAAGCTTTCAAGCACTTTGGAAACGGTAAAAGATTTCTGTTTAAAGAGATACCATTCCCTATTCTCTGTCATGTTTGTCACTGTCTACCCACATTTACTCTAAAAGAAATGATCATACTGTAATACAAACAATACAACACATTTACACTAAATTTGATCTACTTTTTGATAGCCTAGAGGATACACTATATCTATACTAATTTATTTAAACAATTACATAGCTTACTATACATTTATTCAGAGTCAAATTTTTATATGATGTTAAAAAATGGTAACTGACCCATTTCTTATTAAATAAATGATAGGAGTTTTTTTAGTAGGGTTTTGTGTCAAGCTGTATTTGGACAGAAATTGGAAATCAATTAAAAATTTACAACAGCAGTTGTTTTGAAATTATTTTCATTAGTTAAATAAAACTACCTTAAATGTGCTTGGTACCTAAGGAGAATATCATCAAAACATTTTTTGCACTTAAAACTGATTTATTAAAACAAATTAAGTATTAACTTTAGTTAGTGAATTGACAGATTGTTTCCAGTTCTCATAAACCAGATTTTTTCAAAGGTATTTAGATGCTTAAAGATGCAGAATAGCTGCCTAGTGGGATTTTCAAACTTTAACAGGTTAGGTGGCTAACTCCCATTAAAATCAATAGGAGTTAGGCACCTAACGTACTCAGACACTTTTGAAAATCCCATTAGGCACCTATCTGAATCTTTAGGTGCCTAAATATTTTTTAAAATCTGGCCCCACATCCTTCAAGTTTTTAAAATTAGCAGAGCTCATCCCTTCCCACTTGATTTTTATTTATACATTTGAAAAGGAAAACAAGCTTTCCTGCCTTTTTAACTCCCCAAAATGTCATCTTAACTTTGAGTGAACTAGTCCAAATGAAGAAAATATTCTCTCTGTATCTGCTAGCTAAATTGAAAACAAAAGTAATTAATTCAAAAGCTTTTCTGCACAACAGAAACTGAAAGTACTTACATTTGGAAAAAAGTAAATACCAGTATTCACTTCATGGTCTGAAAATAATAGATATAGTAATGCAGTACATGACATCGTGATAGATTTATCAAGCTTGAGCTGACCTCAAAAGTTAAGATGTTTTCCTTTTGATTCTCTATATAATTAAAAAAGCAGCATCCTTTAACTATTAACATGTGAGAGGGCTCATTGTTGCAGCTTTTTTTATTTAAATTACTTTAATAGTTTCCAGTAAATTTAGGCCTAACATAGGCTGTCATAATTTCAATTTTAAACGGGTTTATTTTAAAAAAGAAAAATGTATTTAATTTTTTTTTTTTTAAATCCATCAACTTTTATCCACCCTGTGTTAAAACTATTTGCCCTTTATTGATGGTTGGGCTCAGTTCTACAAACTAACTCCTGAAGTTTTCATGATTGCTATGTTTTGTTTGGTAGAGAGCATGGTCAGGTGGTGAGAGAGCAGAATTGGGAGTCAGATTCAATTCCTGGGTCAAGCCACTTACCATTACTTTGTCTCAGTTTATCTGTAAAAAGTACAGAATGTGTCTGTGTGTCACAGGAATTTTGTGATGTTCAATGTTTGTGAAGTACTTTGGAGGTGCTAGGATGTAAGTAGCTATACAATGTAAGTGCACAGTATGAAGAATTATTTGAAGTCCAAGAAATGTAATTTATAAAGGGCATCTTATTAAGCAGTGTTTTTTTTTTTTTTTTTTTTAAATAGAAACTGCATTTGTAAGCATCTGTGGGAGCATCAAATGCACAGAAATTGCTACAAGAGACTTTTTAAAAATAATTTAACTACATACAATAAAATAAGTAATACAACTTACCAACATCCATGGCAGTTTCCATGAAGCTTTTCTGTCTTGAAGCAAATTCAGCTAGCAACTTTTGTTGCCTCTCTCTGGCCTTTTGTCGTCTACATGAAAGAGATAGTAGAAATTTACTGGAGAAACTGGTATAACAGTGAGCAGGGGCAGCTCCAGGCACCAGCGCAGCAAGCGCGTGCCAGGGGCGGCGTGCCGGTCGCGGTGAGGGCAGCAGTCAGGCAGCCTTCGATGGCATACCTACGGGAGGTCCGCCGGTCCCGCGGCTTCGGCGGCAATTCGGCGGTGGGTACGCCGAAGGCGCAGGACCGGCAGATCACCTGCAGAAACGCCACTGAATCCGTGAAGGCTGCCTGACTGCCGTGCTTGGGGCGGCAAAAAACAGAGCCGCCCACTACAGTGAGAGAAGAGTTAAACATTTATTTTCTTGGGTTGATAGCATAGCAGTTAGCACTCCAATTTCATCTGAGACACAAGATTTACCACAGTCCCCTCTTTGCATTAATTTGTTAGACAGACAAATGAGGAATCTAATACCCTAGAAGTGATCCTTGATGATAAATAAGGAGTAGTTTTTGTTGGTTGCACTGGAAGGGATGAAAGCCAGACAACAAAACCAAAGGATGATGATCTAATCAGGACTTACCAGTGTAGAAGACATAAGGACATTACTCTTGAATGTTATTTTTGTACCAGGGAAGAGCAACTCCCAGAAAATGGAAGCAAGCCGGAGGAAAATGGCAGCATCAGTATAAACACACCACAATATCTTCTAGTGTCCATACTTTTCTGCTACCCTTGCAAATAGTGATTAAAATTTACTAGTCCAGGCCAAAAAACGGCATACAAATCAGATAGTTTTGTTGCTATTGCCTGTGGTCAGGGATAAAAGAGGATAAAGGACCTGGAGTAGGAGGAGGGAACAAACACCAAATTCTTGTTTTAGCTATCCCATTTATAAATATGTACAAAATGTATTATAAAAGATATATAAAAGGATGCTAAGGTTGCAACATCAAGCATTCAAAAGTTAAGAAACACTAAAATTAATCCTGCTCAAGCAACCCAGAGACTGATTTTTCCAAAGATGCTGAACATCCACAGCTCCAACTGACTTCAGTTGCAGTTGTGAGTGCTCAGCTCTTCTGAAAATCATGATCATGGTGTCTCAAATTGGGCCCCATAAAACGAGTACCACACAATTAGTGGTCACCTAGGGAATTTTGGTTTCAGTGACTTGCCCAGGATCACAAAGGAAGTTCATAGAAGAGCCAGAGGTAGAACCAAATTGTCCTGGGTATTATTCAACTGCTTTAACCATAAGATCATCAATGCTCTTCTTGAGTTGCTACCTACTAACTGGTTCCAAGTTCATGTGACTATATCCTCATCACAAAATTAGTATAAATTATTCAGCATAAAACAGCCTGGGAAAATATCCAAACTCTGTTCATAAAGAGCCCTAAGACAACACTAGAATCAAGACTGAATTATTTTTTCAACCAAAGATGATAGCAAGGATTAAAATCATTGGTAAGGTATTGAAAAACCTCATACAGCAGTTGCTTACACTGGTGGGAAAAAAGTGGCCTTTAAATTCCAGTGCTGCCTGCTCATTATCTTTCACAGGTCTGGTTTCTCCTCATCACACTTTTCCCACCCAAAAACACAAATTAATTAGAGCCAATAAACAAATATCTCTGAAATGAGCTTCTATAGCTGGGATATTAGCTGTTTTGTCATTCCAGTTTATTTTTTAAAATTAAGTTTGCTTTGGAAATGTTTTGGAAAAGGACTTTACACAGTTTATGGTCGTATTAACAAAGAAAACTCACTAATTTATTTTAAGATGCATTTAAAAATATTACAATAAGTATAATGGTACCTATTAATTGTTTGAGTATTTGGAGGAGTCAGTCACTAGGCTCTCTGTAGGCTGCCCATCATCCCCCCCCCCCCCTTTCCCATTTACTGAGAAAAATGACATACACATGCATTATATGGAAATATATAAAATTTTATGTTTTAAAGGAAACAAAAAAGTTACCCTTAAAATTAAATCACAGTGAATTGTATGGTGTCTCAATAGGACCCTGATAATGAAATTATTTACACTGATTAAGTAAAATATAGTTTTAAGAAAGGGCAAGAGTAATTAGTAATTGTTTTTCTTAGGCAAGTATTTATTTAACTTAGTCAATTTTCTTAGGCATTTTTAGAATTCAAGTATCCCCGCATGTGCACATGATTATTTGTCACATTGAAAAGTCACCACTTTTTAAAAAAAAAATCCTTACAACAATTTTAAGATTGATTATTTTCGAGGATGCATCAGTAATGTGAGACAACCTCTTATTAGAATTATTGTAGTAATTTTTCCCTGGAATTTTTTCCTCAACCTATGCTTCGCTTTTACCAAAACAGTCTGACTGTAAATAGAGAACCTTAATAAGGAGACATAAACAAACTCTGACAGATTCAGTACAGCTCAGTAATTTTCCGTGATGGCCCAAGGGCCTAAGATACTGAGGCTGAAAAATATTGCAAGCAGTTCAGTCTCTCTTCTAACTCTATGTCTTAGTTTCTATGGTGACAATCGATCATGTGGGAGATGTCAAGTTTGTCTTTGTAGGTTGACGTAACTAGAAATGGGTCATCACTGAGTGCTCAAACACTGCCTGCTCAATCTTCATTATTACAAAACTAGACTTGAAATACAAATGTAAATGGAAGCTTAGATTCATGCTGCTCACACAGTCATCAGATTAGATCCATTTTAATTCTAAACTGTAACAAGGTACTGCCTGTTAGAATATTTGTTTCAAGTCTTTGCAAACGTCATCACTGATTCAAGGAGGTGGAAAAATAGTCACTTGGATGACAAAGAACTGGAAATTATCATTTTTTATCATCACGTGATCCTTTGAGTTTTATTCAATATAAAAGTATTCAGAACATGTCTGCTCAAATGTCACATCCTTTACAGAGAAAAAGCACAAATTATCCTTTATTACATGAAAAATACAGTTCTGTTTCACTTATTCTCTCTTCCCCTCTGTGTAAACTGAAGAACCCTCAGTTGCACAACTGAGGCATAAGTATTTCTAAGTGCAGCACTGTGTTTTTAAAGAGACGATCAGCACATTTTTAAAAAAGCAAGTTTCACATTCAAAAGTTTCTTCTTTAGTTCATTGAATGATTGAAAAAAGTTTTAATTTTTATTTTGTAGTGTTTAGTTTATATTTAGTTTTGGTTTTATATTTAGTCAAGGTATTTAGATAATATGGTTAGTAAAAACATGAATTTATTTTGGGTTTATTTTATTTAAAGAAAAATACACTTCTAGTATTAGGGTTTTGTATGAGTCTAAAGCACACAGTAATTTTAAGCAGCCACAGAGACTTCAGTGAGAGAATTGATTATACAGAACATCATTTACCCTTAATTGCTCAAGGTCGCACCGGTCTTTTCTGAAAAGACCAGCTTTCTTCTTTGCCACTCCAGCCAGTATAGCTTTTCTTGAAGTGCCTAAAAGCTGTACGTCTTAGAATCCTACAGTTCTTAAGGTCTATATTGTATTCAACTAGAATAGAATGAATTTTTTTTTAACTTTCCCAAACCATTTTAAAACAAATTGAAATTACAAGTACACTATGTACACACACACACACACACACACACACACACTTTATGTTCTTGGAAATGTATAGTTTTTATAAAAGACTGAAAAAATGGATCAGGCTGATCCATTCTATTTCTGGATTTCTTTCAGCTATGTTCATACCAATATTATCTTGACAAGTAAATCACTTGAAGATGGAACAGCTCAGAAGAAAGCTGATCTTTTCAAAAAAGAAAAGTGTTTCCTTGAGCAATGAAGGACAAACTGACCTGCTAGATGATCCAATCTTTCACTGAAGTCTCTCTGGTTCTCCAAAAGTTACTAGAAATGTAACTGTATGAAAGTTACTGGAAATGCATTTTTCTTCAAATAAAATAAACCAAAAATAAATTCAGATGTGATATTCTGTGTGTAGGTGTGTACACAACCACACACAAAAATATCCCCTATTTACTTAATGTTATTAAGGTTGCACAGTAGATCATCAAAAGTTCCTCATACAACCTTAATTCTGCCCTATCTGCATATGCACTAAGATACTCTTCAATTACATGATCACATACTATTTTTTGCCACTTAATATTCTTTTAACATGTTCTATCCAAGTACTTTAGAGAGAGAGAGAGAGAGAGAGAGAGAGAGAGAGAGAGAGAAGGAAAAACACACTATGTGTGACTGTGCCCCATCCAGAAGTGCAATTCTTTGTGGCACGAGTGACATGCTGGAAAGCACTGAATGTTGAGCAATTTTAGTAGCAAGATGCTAGCATGCTCTTCTGGGCATAACACAAACTGCATACAGCGATTTTTGAAAGCTTCTCTCTGCCAAATCTGAACAGATTTTGATGGGAACATCAATAGGCACTCCCCTGACCCCAGGATTATCCTCCTGCCAACTTTCAAAATCATACCGAAAGCAATGGAGACACTAGTGTTCCACAAAAAAAACAAAACAAAAAAAGTAGGAAAAATACATTAGACAACCTTTATACAGAAGTTACGTCTCTCCTGCTACAATATACACACAGGTATACACAGAGACAATAAACATGTGACTGTGCACTTTATCAGACATACAATGTCATTATGTGCCCACTAATCCATCTCCCCTGATCTTATTCCAACCTTGCAAGCCCATGGTCAGCTTCAAACTGCCTTATTTAAAAAAAAATCTATCGGCCATGGAAACAATTTCTTCCTTGTCTTTGCTAATGTAGAGAATTTATCTCCCTTTCCATCCTCCCAAAAGTACAGCTGGCTCAAAGCCTAGGAAAGGAGAGAAAGTCTTCAGATAGTAACAGCTGTTCTAGACATTAAAAGGTGTCTGCTTTAAAGTTCTTTATTTTGTAGCCCTGAATGTCTAGAATCTATGTTTTTGATCATGGACCAAAAATGGTTGAGAACCACTGATGCAGACAAAAGTCATGATCCCCAATCCAAAGACCTCACATATAACATAACAAGAGATGACCAGGAACAATGGGAAGAGTTAAGGAAAGGGAAGACAAATGTTACAAAAACAAGAACATATGCTAACTATCATTAGTTATACACATAGCAGGAAACTTTTCCCCAAGAAATTCTTCATGTAAAGGCCCAATCCTGCAAGGTGTTGATGACACTCAACACACACTTAAATCAGGCAGCTTGCAGGACTGGCTGTTGAAGACTAGAGTTATAATTTAAGATTTTAAATTTTTTGGTAAATTATTTGTTGGTTTAGCGATTACTGCCGAAGAGATAGATCAATTTATCAGACGGACAGGGGTACATACCACCACCCCCCATTGTGCCCCATATTATTTTTAATATATTACCTTTCCTCTTTGTCCAAGGTTTTCTTCTCTGCAGGACTAATCTTTTTTGGTGGTACAGGAGGAGTCACTTTTCTGCATATTTCTTCAATGATCCGTTTATTCAATCTGCTTTGTACTGCAGCTTTCAATAAAATTCTTTCTACTGCTGTCATCCCATCACCATGAGAATATTTAGGAATTTCTGGTTGGATTAAAACCTCCATATCATCAAACCATGGAGGATAGTAAGAATTTTGTTTTCCTGAGAGTTTATGATGAAGTTTGATTAGCAGGGACAATATGCTTTCTTTGATTTCCAGAATGGCTGTGGTTAGCTGTGGTGTTGCACCAGGTGCTGACCATTTCATTGATGTCTTGGGACGAACTACCTGACTTGCTTCACTACTATTGCGATTGATAATTTCCTGAAATTTCTTTCTACGTTCTGCAACCAAGCTGAACACTTGAGCTGTTCCTGAGTTCTTAAAACAAGAAAGAGCTATTTGTAGTGGATTAATAAAAGGGAGTACAAGAATCAACAATAATAATTTTGCAAAACTATATGCAACATCTTTTCAGCTTCCAACAGCTAGCTAATGAAAAAACAATGAAGCCATTCCTATGCCTTTAATTTCCTCTTCCCAAGCAATTAGTTATTTTGCCATAATTTAAAAATATTTCTATATTCAAAATACTTCTGCATGTCCAACATGCTTTTATACATATTGATTATACTCATAAATATAAAAAGCCAGGTATGAAAATGTAAAGTGTGTGTGTATTATATATATATATATATATATATATATATATATATATATTTAGCTGAACAGCAAATAATCAATTTCATATTTAACATTAAGATACTGAACTCAGTGGGAGCTGTTGAGTGATCAAAACTATAGAGAATCAAGTTACTTTTTAAGTGCCTAAATGTGGCATTAGGAGCTTAACTTGTGGATCCTATTTTTTTAAAAACTTAGTCCTCATTTTCCAGAAAAGCTGAGCACCCAACAGCAGCCAATTATTTAGGTGACTAAATATGGACTGGGGAGTCTATTTAGCCACTCACGTTTTTTGTTGTTGTTTTAAATCATGGCCAGTTTTTATTGCAAAAAAAAATGTTGTGCTAACACACAAAAATACCTACTATATAAACTACACTTCATTGCTGTCGCTTTCTTTAAATCTGGTGTTCTTACGTAAAAACATTGACAATAAAGACTGGATTATATACTGGTTATAAATATTTTATGATTCCAGTTTGTAAAAATTAATTTTGCTTCCACAAAAACAAACCAATTTGCCATTAATCATTTCAAATACACTTTCTACATCACATTAATAGGTTAAGATTATTCAGATACGAGAAGCTAAACAACAGAACATTATTAGATGTTAGTAACATTAGTTTGCCATCTGCAGTGGCAAAAACAAAACAAACAAAAAAAGGCACATATATAGTGAGCCCATATTTGCTCAAGTAGTAGGCCAGCAAAAAAAACATTTAATACCTTTGATAGATGGAAATTATTTTAAAAAACAAATTATGTCAAATTCTAAGTCATTCAAGTCTATTAGTCTATTATTTAAGAATGAGAGGCTGACAAAATGCATAGGTACTTGCAAAATAAAAAAAGTCTCAGAAATTAATGGATTGCACTGGAAGTTATGGTGAGCATAGTTAAAGCCATGTTGCCAGTTAAGGGCATTAGAATACAAACTGCACACAAATCTACCTCTCTTTGAAGGCTCTTAGACCGCCTTGGACTCTGGTAGGTTGGGCAGGGAGGAAAAAGAGGGTGGAATTAAAAACGGTCATTTGGAAAAAGGTATGTCTTGAAATAACTTCCACACTTTAGGAATAATCCTGCCACAGAAATAATGTAGGCATATTGGTGAGGAAAAATACTCCTGAGAAACTTATAAAACTAATCAATATTAAGGTAAGTTAAATGGTCTTCAAAAAAAAAAAAAATCAATACATTAGTTACATCTTTCTGGCATTCTTATTACAGAAGGCAAAAAACCTGGGATTTCTTTACACTTACTTGGGAAGAAGCTAAACCATCAGAGCTGGTACTTGCAGGTGGTTCTCTCTTTACTTCTGGAGCAGTCTCTGGTACTCTCACTCGAACATAGTTAATAAAGTGACGCATGTTAGACACCAAGTTATTATCTGGAAACCAACTGTCATGGCAACGTTCATGTTCACCAACAGAATCCTAGAGTAATAGCCATGAAAAACAAATCAATGGAAAAAACTTTGTGTAAATTTTTTTATATATATATATATATATATATATATATATATATATATATATATATTTTTCTTTTATAGACTATGATAAATAATGTTGCTTTTAGAACTGTACCAAAGCTGATTATTATCTCTATAGTAAAAGGGAACCGTACACTGGAATATGTACCTCGGTAAAAATGATACAGATCTTCAAAAATGCTAGTGACAGACTGCTGGACTGAGAACCTCAAAAAATGTACAAAGATTATATTTTGTTCAAATATAAGCATCTATAAGTATATAAAAAGAGCACTCATGAGGAGGAAAGGAATTCTTCAGGGTAGAAAAAAGTGGTATGAACTGAGAGTAATGGGACAAAATTTCTAACTGTGAGCTCTAGTATCGGGTAAACTAATCTTCTAAGGCAGTGGTTCTCAAACTTTTGTAGTGGTGACTCCTTTCACATAGCAAGCCTCTGAGTGCGACCCCCCTTATAAATTAAAAACACTTTTTATATATTTAACACCTCAGGTTACAGGCCCTGTGCCTGGAGCTGAAGTCCTTGGACTACAGCTTTGGTCCCCACACCTGGGGCTCGGGCTGGCTCAGGCTTTGATACCCGCTCCTGGGATCATGTAGTAATTTTATTGTCTGAAGGGGGTCACGGTGCAATGAAGTTTGAGAACCCCTGCATAGGTCAAATAGTCTTTCATTATGCTGCCATTATATATTTTTATCAAATATTGTCTCTTTCACCGGTATTCTAGATATCGTCATCTACAGTACTAATGTTTAACGACCTCAGTATTTTCAGTGCTGACAGTTACATGGGTAAAGGACAATGATTTCTTCAATGGTTACTAGGATTCCTCCATGAAAATTTCTCACTTAAACACACTAAACTGGATGCTGTTTTCAGTATTTTTCTAAATGGGTTGTTCAACTATACAAAAACTGCGAGATGGTTTAAGATAACTGTTGCTCTGGAACTGTAATGCTGTCAAGTAAATTTGAGGAATGGTAACTTCCTCTCATCCACCACCACTTTATCTCCATTTTAAAAACAGTTTTTAAAAGTAGAGTTTCTGTCCTAAGTGCTTTCTCCTTTTTCATATAATGTTTCTTATTAAGCTATCCAAAATATAGCTTCACTTCATTTATTTCCTTGTTTGCACATTACATTAAATAATGGAACAGTATGGTTCTGGGAATAAAATTTGTTTGTTAAATTCATTAACAAAAACACTTAAGATTTTGCTTCCTTTATGTAATGTCTGGGGCCAAATTCTGCTCTCAGATATTCATAGATTTTAAAGGCAGAGAGATCATTGTGGTTAGCTAGTCTAACTACCTGCATAAAATAAGCCACAGAATTACACCTAGGAAACTGCTGTATCAAGCCCAATAACTTGTGATTGAACTACAGTCTGTCTTTAAGACAGACAACCAATCTTGATTTAAAGATTTCAGGTGATGGAGAATCCACCATATCCCTTGCTAAGTAGTTTCAACGATAAATGACCCTTAATGCTAAAAAAAAAAAAAATGCACTTCACTTCCAGTCTGAACTTGTCAAGCTTCAACTTCCAGCCATTGGGAGTTATAGAAGCATTTTAAAGGAAATAATTTGATTCTAACTTTTTCAAAAGTCCATGGAAAATGGAAATTTTACCTTGGCCCCTGATCCTGCACGTTACTTTTTCCATCCACATGGAGTCTCACTGAGGCCAATGGACTCTGTGCAGGTACAGGGACCTGACCATGTGGAACAACCCGAATGGCTCTCAGCCTCCCTGTAAAGAATCCTCCCAGACGTGGGATACTCAATTTTAAAACTACTAAAAAAAAAAAAAAAAAGGTATCTTTACTACGTTTCATTTGTTTGGCCTTCAGTTGGTGACTAAGCGTTGGTGTGACGATTAATATTATGCAATTAGACAGACCTACTCTAGCTTCATAGAACATGTAGGAGTTTTTGTTTGTTTTTAGCTAGCAGAATATTATTGATTGCCATGAATTCTCTGAATATCTCATTGTTTAAGGGTTTTTTTGGTGCATACAGATAGAATTTAAAAACCTCTTTTCATCATTAAAAAGCCCAAACTTTAATAAGAGTTTGACCTTGTGGTTGTGACATACCTTTGCAGACCTGTTGTTGTGAATTCATTTGATAATTTTTGCAACTTTTATATTTTCTATAATTTTTGTAATGTGTAAGAATACTGAAAGTGAGAAGACCAATATGATTGCCTGTTCTCAACTTGATATATTGGTTAAGAGATACTTGAAAGCTATTCTTTAAGTGAGCTTTATAGTCAGTTCATTTTCTATAAACATCTTCAAGCAATAATTTACTAAATATCAGACAAAGCAACTGCACCACTCATGTTATGAACACAGAAGTCCATTAGCATTACACAGACCATTCCAGCATATGCACTACAAGATTTTAATTTAATTTTCACCACTGTATGCTACCTTATGATATTCAAAAACACATATTAATTTAAAACAAAAGTTAAGCAAAACACTCCTGAAGAAAGTTTATTAACTAGCTATTATTTATTTTCTCAAGATAATTTTCCCAGGAAATAGCCCAAATCTTAAGGAAGGGTCCTGAAATCCAAAAAAAATATTGGATCAAGAGCCCCATCTTGTAAACCTAGCTTACACATGTAAATCCAATTGTAATTGCATACAAGTATGGACTGCATGATTAGGTACCAAGTCTTCAGGTTAGACTACTAAAATGATATTGTTTCATGAAGACCTGTTTAAAATAGGAGGAAACAAGAGAGAACTAATTCCAACACCAGCTAATTTCAGCAATTTGGCAATGTTCAATCACAGTCACATCAACAAATAATAAAGCCACTTAACTGCCTGCCTTGCTGTAACCTGAGACAGAAATATTAAGTAGCCTCAAACTGATCCCTGGTTATATGATAAAATGACTTAATCCTGTATCCCTAATCAAATTTTAAAATTCTCATGATTAAATTTGGTTTTAAAATCATGCCTACAGCTTCTTAATTTTATTGTTTAAAGATCATATATAAATAATACTTTCCTTATTAAGAAGGAAAAAAATAATGACATTTAACACTTACTTCTTCATCAGACTCCTGCTCTGGTGAATCTTCTAGTCCCAATTCGATCAAATACAAAACCATGCAAAGGACATGTTCTGACAAATTTTGATGATCCATCAATATCTAGGGGAAAAAAATTATATTTGTAACTCAGAAGATGAGCATTTTGAGAGCCTCATATGAAAAGTGCAAAGACAGCTGCCAAAGAAACTGAAGGAAGAGGTCTGTAACCTAAACTGAAAGATAAAGAAGGTAACCAAGATTTTCTTTTGTTGGGAGCAGATAAGGGGTTCGCGTAAGATTTGCTGCCCCAGAACATGAGCCTTTTTCCACTTACACCTGAATGCCCTTCCAAGTAAGCTCCTTCAGAGAAAATAGATGGATTTGAGACACCTGCTTGAAAATACCAAACCTTTTTCTTTGCATACTCTCAGGAGCCATACCTATTGAGAGTGGAAACCTGAGTGGGAATATATTAAAAAGAGCAGTTAGACAGAAAGTATGCTACATCAACACTTCTGTTGCCCAATTCTTTCATTCAGAATTTAAGGTCTGATTTTAAATACAAGTTTCTTGCTCTTAGAATCGTGAAGGAAGACTGCCAATGTGAACTGATTTAGTGCTATCCTATTGCATCTACAAGGAATGACAGTCTGAAACAATAGCTCTCAGATAGGTCAACTGCCCTATTCATCTTACTGGGATGTTTACTCTGAAGCACCCCAACAACTTAAACGTCATTCTTTTCCTCAAGAGAAAACTCTACATAGTTTTCATAGGCTTCTGCTGGAAGGACATTTAAATGTAAACAGAGAATGACTGTTTTCCTTCCCCCCCCACCCTACAGTCCAGAAACTCCTTCCAGCAGAAGCCTATGAAGACTAAAACTCCTCAAGTTTACAAAGAAAAGGGGGCACAGAGGAAAAAAAAAGGGAAAATGAAAAGCTAAGAAAGGCACAGTACCTGGCTCCTACCTTACTGTTCAGTACTCAGAGACAGAACTCTACCAGCAGGAGCCTTTCCCACAGCTTAGTACAAATAAAGTACCACAGACAGGCAGTTATTCTTCTCCCATTAAAATGCATTTTCTGCCTACTACCATGCACCCATCCAAACTCCCAGTGATAGTAAGAAAAAACAAAACATCAGAAATGTAAGGTTATACAGAAAACAAAAAAAAACCAACCCACCAGATGCCTTTGTCACTCACGCATGCTCAGCTTATAGCAATGAGATGAGAACAACTCATGCAGTTGTTAATTGAGATCATGCACTCACAGTGCTGAGAGTCTGACTATTGACTTGTTGACCCTTGATCTATCAGAACCTTAGAAGATGAGAACCCCATCTAGGTTTCTTTTTATTAAGACATGGTTCGCATGACATTACAAACCCAATACTGGCTCACACTTCACTCCCTATTACTCATTCACCATACCCTTTGAATGCATTAAATGAGGGTACAGCAGAGATTCTACTCCCAGCCAGTCCTCACATGCTGGAAAGGCTCCGCTAGAAAAACAAGACTATCCACCTCATCTGCAAATCAACAGACAATCCTAGAAACTCTATTCAACTACAGACAGCAAAGGCTTCTCAGAAGCACTGCTGGAAATGCTGAAATGACGCGCTAGAGGAGTCTGCTACTGTACCTCATTTTTCTTGAATGCTTCGACATCAGTATAGATAACACCTTGATACTATTGCGCAAAATCTCCAACCCACTGTTAACGATGGGTCTTGTATAAGTTATTTCCACACAAGACAACTGGTCACACAACAGACTGGCTCCTTTGCCTGCACATCACTACCTCCTACGAGCAGTCTGCAGCAGAAGGGTCGTTCTGGATTTCTCATTGTTGCTGAACACACAGAGTAACAGCACCAAACATTACTTTTCTCCCATCTTCCACTAGCCAGAAGACTGAGCCCCAAGTTATCAAAGTGATCCAAAGCTTTGTGAGCTCCAGGCTGAGACTATTAAAATTCACTCTGCCTAGGCATGAGCAGTCCAATATTACAATAAAGCTTCCATTAGCCCACAATTCAATAGCTCACATCCTCAGCCACACCATCCACCAAAAACATATTATCCTGGTGCTCCACTCATTATACTGGCTCCCCACAGAAATTGGGCTGAAGGGCAAGGTCTCTGGGTTAACTTTCCAGGCTCCCCATGGAATTAACACAAGATACCTCAGAAAGTATTTCCCTTTTGAAGAGGCCTCCCTTGACAGTTATATTAACCAGGAACAACAAAGATGTCAAACTCAAAGGGAAAGCTCATGAGAGCAGAAAGCAGGGCTTTCTTGGCAACAGGACCAATTCCTAAGAACTCATTACCTAAGGAGATATGAATGACCACAAATTTCACTGTCTTCAAATTGAAGTGAAAAGCTCATTATTCGACTTAGCTTTCCCACAGTTCCAGCTAAACAGAGCAAAGAAAAAAGGGGGGGGAAGAGGAGGTAGGAAATAGAACTAGGGGAAACAATAAATAAATGCAAACAAACAAAAAAAGCCCAACTGCCTTGGATGAAATATGGAGGAAAATTAGGCCACTAGCCTATTATGATCTTGGTTATCTCAGAGAGGTATTCAGATGTTTCAGTGATGGACACCATTATAAGAAGCTAGATAAGTGTCAAGACCAACCTAAGGATCTGAGCTCATTTTTTGAAGCACAGACTTGTTTTCCAGATCAGCTCCCACACTTGTGTTGACTTTGGTCTCTTACTTAAAAACCTCTGCTAAAGTACACAATCATTCAAACTGAGTTGATGGTGAAGAGTGGTGAGAGAATGAGACTACTGAAGAGCAAGTTTGTCTCTGGAATGCACCATCTTCGTTATCAGAGAAATTTGAAGAACTTCAGCAAGTGCACTTTATGCACATTTGTTCAGCAAGAGGTGATAATCTTTTTCTTAATTATGTTCAGGTGAAAATATTGTTTAAATGGAAAAGACAAACATAGTTCCCTAATCCTCACTCTTTCTTTCCAGGCAAACATTATGGGTACATTAGGATTATGACCAAATCAAAAGGTCAGGTAAGCCTGGAAAAACATTAAGTCTGTTCAAGCATGATTTTCAGCATCTGGCAAACAGCTTCTCATCCTCTTCGCAGGTAAACATTAGTCATCACACTTCGCTGCAAAGGTCCTTGTCCATGTTTCATAACCTTATCAGAGAAGTCCAGATCATCAGGAATATTCTCTTTATCTAGCAGGACTGTAAATGAGAGCTCCAATTTATATCCCTCTTCCTCACTGTGATCAGTTTTGAAGTAGCTATTTATGACCCTAAGAGAATAAGCAGGATTAGTAAATCCAGCTGACACTCTTTTTAAGAGCGTACAGACTAATGCAATTTCCAGAAGGTCCAAGGAGAGTACCAGCCAACTTCACTTTTCCCTGATGAGGAGCATATTCAAAAGACTTCAGAGATACATAAAAAAGCAGCCAAACAAAGCTTCTCAAAATAAATATAGTTTATTAATTAATTTAATTAATTAAAGAGATAGCTTAAGCTTTCGCCCTTATCAATTCGGGAAAAAAGAGTTCTTAAAAAAAACCCACCATTTCTCATCCCCTGAAGAGGGAGAATTATTAGAGTCACAGCCAACAGAGTTCAGACGAGGAAATTCAGAAAGTCCTCCCCTCTGGCGAATCTTTTCAATCAAAGGGAAGAACAGTTGTAAGAACCCCCAATTTACAAGAAAAGGTGGAGGAGAAAGTAAACTAGAAGCCTGTCTATACTAAGCTCTAACAGATTGTGTTGCAATAAAGTTTAAAACAAGTTTTAAATACAGTTTAGTTGTGAATGGGCCAGATTATTTTATAAACATTTATAGCCCTGAGCTCCGCCAGAATGCCATTTTAAAATTTTTTATAACAAGAACTGTTTTGCACCCAGTCTGGTCTAGCTAGCTAAATGATGTTTGAACAGTTTTAAATGTATTCAGCAAACACAGTTTAACCTCACTGTGAATAGGTCTTGAGAGAACTGCATTCAAGACAGCATTAGCATGAAGACTGAAACATAATCATGAGCTATTATGCCATTCAGAAGCAAAAGGCAGATTATACAATACTTCCCAAAGCAGTCATGTGTATACTTGATTTTTTGTGATCTCAAAAAGGTCAAACGACATAAATGCTGTCTTAAATCACAAGAACTCACAAATGTACAAAAAACCTCACGTAGAGACCCCTTACGTCAATCCTTGGAAACAATCGTTGCTTAGTTCCTATATTCCTAGCAGAAGCAAATTTGTATATTCTGATTAGGAAAGTACACTGAGAGTTTAAATTTCTCATAATGAAGTATTTCCTTTTAGATTCTTGAGAGCTTCCCAGTGGGACAAGACAGGGAACCCACCAATGGCAACAGTTGCGAGCAAAGCAGTTTGGGGTGATGCATTCCTTAAAGACAGTGCAGAGCCTCTGAACAGCAAAAGCATTCAAAGTGTTCAAATCTACTGAAATAGAGGACTATGAAACTAGCCTTAACATTATTTAAAAAGACCACAAAGGAAAAACAGGTGTGGATAGTTGTGTTGTCCAAAAGTTTCCAATCTGAAGCATCAGGCCATAGACAAGAGATGGGTTGGAACTTTTAGATCTACCGCACAGACCTCTATTACTTGAACTAATGGAGTAACTGATAGCAGTAGTAAGTTGTCATCCTCCATATAGACCAGCACCAGAGGAGGATGAAACACATACCTTGACTATAGGTTTCATAGATATTTGCTGGCAAGAGAAGAGTGTGAGACTCAAAAATTTTGCGTTCCACTCCAGGATCTGAAAAGGAGTGTCGTCTTCTACCCATGCTCCCTAAACATGACCCTTCTGTCTCATCCCCTCCTTCAAGCTGTCCCTGTCCACCCATCTTCCCCAACCCTTGATCTTTGTCCCAGTCCTATTCTTGCCTACCCATTCCCAGTCTCCACTTTTCAAGCTTATTATCCCAGTCTCCTGGCCCAGCCAGTTCAAGTCTCCCCCTCTTCTCTCCCCATCCCAATCATCCTGCTTCAGTTCTGCCCTCAGTACAATTTTCCCTGCCCAGCCATTCCCACTTTCCCCCTTGTCCCCAATCTTTAGACTTCTGCCCAGGTCCTCATCTGATCTGTCTCTTCACTACTTCCCCTACACACATCTGCACTGACTATTAGTCCCAGTCTCCCTCCCGAGGCTCCTCATCCAATCTCTGTCTTCCCCACCCACGCGCTCCTTGTCCCAGTTTCTTTACCCAGTTCTCCTCCTGCTCTCTGGCTTCCCCTCAGTTCTGGTTCCCCAACCCTAACCTCCTACTCCCACCCCACTTTTTTCCAGTCCTAACCTCCTCTGGCTCCTGATCCAATCTTTGTCTCTCATGCCCCCTCACTGCTCCCAGTCCCTTTGACCAGTCATTCCAGTCCCCCCATCCCAGCTTGCAGTCCCGGTTTTCCTCTCCTGTTCCTACCAGTTTCCTGTCCCAGTTTCCACCCCAACAGACTCTATGTCCCAATCTACTCTCCACCACCGTGGTCTGTTCTTGTCCCTTCTGCATTCCTATAAGGCAGCTTCTACACTGCCTGGATATCAGCAAGGAAAGGCAATGAGAATACAGGAGATACAAGCTCTCAGTTCCAGTGCCTGGACCTGCACCTGCAATTGCAGGGAAAGTCCTGATCACCCCTAGGGATCATGCTCAATGTGAATGAAATCTTTAGAGGCTTTAGCTGCCAACATTTACCAAGTATCTACTGAGCAGATGTGAACTGTGATTTTTCAAAGGCGTATAACTTGGCCAAATGTGGACGTATTTTCATAGAGATGCCAAAAGGCACATCCCTGACACTTCCTTGATAAATTTCAAGTCCCTGCTCAAAAGGATGGGGGGTACTAAAAGAAAAGGTTGCCAGATTTATTTACTTTTTTAAATCATGGGCATGACAATGTATTTTTCCTAGCCTCATTCTTAGAAATGTCTGAACTGTTTTAGCTGAAAATTTTCCAAATAAATTCAGCATGAGGCACACACGACACGTAAAATTTCAGCCTAAATGATAAAAGTTAGGCAAAGCCATAAACAAATGAAAACACTAATGGGGCACTAAAGTGTCAGGCAACCTTAACAACAGGTGGTGCTATTAGGATACCTGACTGCTAAGTAACATACATAACATATAACAGACAGTGACAAACACACAAAAATCATAGAACATGAACAAGGTCATAAAATAAATTACTGAACAAATTTAAATAATGTACATCTTTGAATTGATGCATTTATATTCCACTTCATTTTAAAATAGGAGCTAGTAAAAAAAAAAAAAACAGAATGAGGAAAATGAAAAATTTAAAAAGTAGAAAATGCTGTATTCCGATGTTACAACTCGACCTTCGTTTAATTAATAAACAATCATTCATTAATCAAAAACAAATGATTTTTTTCTCTAAAGTACAAAAGTATCAATATTTACATACATATGAACCTGAACACTGTAAATCAAGTGTAAGAAATCTACCTAATTTTAAGCACTCTTATTTTAAGATGAGAAAATAAAAACTAGTTTTTTCTCATTATTCAGAACTACAACTGTACCTTGTAAAGAAGTGTGAACAGTACAATGTGCAAGGTTTTACAGTGCAAAAGCTTCATGAGACCTTTATAGCTTGGATGCAGTGGTGTTCGTTTCTTGTAGGGAGGCCAGGGGTTTCCAGGGAATTTTCCACTCTGCTTTAAACTGTTAAAATAAACATGACTAAAATTAAATGCTTCACTAATCAGAACTAAAATAGCAGCTCTATTATAGACAGCACGAAATCAAAATATACAGGTTACTTATGTCTTAGGGTACTGACCGTTTCAAAGCATTATTTATGTTACATAACATTTTTCAAACTTGGGTGTCCATCTCTCTTTTATGAGCAATGGATTGACAAAGGTCACTCATTGTTATTACTGGGAGCCAGTGCCGGTGTAAATCCCCTCTTGAATCATGAGGAGAATGGATCTGTACAAATCAATTGCAATGGATTCAAGAATGCTTGTTTCAGTCTTCCAAGGATCGTAAAAGAACAACAATTTGCAGAAATGTCTTCACCTCAGCAAAATCTGTTTTTCCATGTGGCTATAATTATAATATATATTAGCATGAACCAAAGTTTTCTAACTTGTGTGTCAAAAGTAAGGCACCTGCTTTTGACTTCTGAAAGTTAGACTACTTTATTTAGAGGTACTGAGCATCTGTAATACCCATTATTTAAATCTGAATTATCTTCAGTGGGAGCTGTGTTTCCTCAGCACTTCTGAAAAATCAGATTTGACTTTAGGTATCTATATTTGCAAATTTTGGCCTTGGTCTCTTCCCTCAGAACCCGATAAAAACCAATATTATCATGAAACCAAGATACACAATGTTCCAATAATGCACAAATTATATTTTTATGTACTGTATAAGCATTAATTTTTCAGAATATGCTAGTTTATGGCCCAGTTCCTCTCACCCACTTATTCCTCAGAAAATTATGATTCTTGTTGCCTGAGTCAAACATATACTTATCTATAGACAAGATGATACAACAGGACAATGTTTTTGTGTGTTTAAAAAAAAAACAGAAAAAGTATTTTTAATACACACGGTATATTTAACACCTTGTAAAATTAAATTATTCATTGCGGTATGGAACATCCTCCCTGTATTTTTTAATTTTTTCCCAAATCTCTCCTGAAACCATACAATTTCTCCTTTGCTTATACCTTGTAATTTCTCTCCCTTTGCTATTGTCTCTCTTTATCATTGCAGAATTTAATTAGCTGATGGAGTCATGTGACTTTGTTTGAATGAAAAAGCCAGCAGCAGACTTCTGCACGTGCCTGCATCTGGACATCTGAAATCTGGGAAAGCCTCATAGAAAAGCCTTGCAGTTTTCAAGATCAGACATGAAGGCATGGATGAAAATTTCTGCTGAGACAATTTGAGGCATAGCTACACACTGGTAGTCTTATGTAGCTGGTGACACACATGTCTGTAAACACAGAAGTAGTGGAGGAGCACAATTCAGGGTAAAGTACATACAGTTGAATATCAGTGCAAGAGTAGTAACTAAGGGCAAGTACTCAGAGTGGCTAGCCATCCTGTGGCTCAAGCTGCTGCATTTATACTCTATTTTTAGCACACTAGGTCAATGGTGAAAAGGTGACGAGGACAGGGAGAAAAGGCAGACTGAAAAGAACAGGGGGGCTAGAACAGAATCCTGTTGGATTTCACAGGAGGAGCAGTCTAGACACAAAGTCCACTAAGGAAGTGGGCATTACAGGGAAGGGAGGGGCATGGCAGAGCTCAGCCCAATTCTCAACTGGCATACTAGTTCTAATTTGCGTGCAGCTGGATGGCTGTGAATTCAGAAGCCACAAATTGGTCCCTGCCGTCCCCTTGCCCTGCACGAGAGCAGAACTTGGTTGGAGTAGAGATTCTAATAAAAGAGGAAGAAAGTGGTGTTAGAAAGAGCTGAGGAAAAGGAAAAGGATGGGTGAATTAAAGCAGTAATGTAGAGAGCAAAAGTATGGAGAATGGAACAAAATGAGCAAATGAACTAGTAGATTTCTCGCACCTGGTCTGGGACAGGCTGGAAGGAATAGACAAGCCCAGACACTGAATTAAACCAGTAAAAGTAAAGAAGGCTCATATTCTCTCTTTCTGAAACTAACCTCCATCAAAACTCATATACCAAGCAACCACTGTGCAAATGAAAGTGACCTGCATTTTTTCTTTTCAAATGCAGCAATTCTAAAATTACATGTTGAATGCAAAAGTTACCCAGCCAACATTTTATACATCAAATTACATTTTTTTTTAAAGTGTTAAAAGATGGGCTCCACCTACACCAAATCAGAACAAGATTGCTGGCGTATATAATTAAAAAGGTCATAGGGGAGTTTTTAAATTAAGGGCTGGAGGAAAGCCAACAGGTGTGAAGGAGCACATAGTTTGGACAGAGACATCTCTTATCGGAGGATTTATTAAAAGGGGTATGCTAAATCCTAGTAAAGTAGAGAGGATAGAAGTTGATAGATACAGGTAGGAATCAAAGGGAAACAGTCAAATGACAGAGTCCCATTCAATTACATCTCATGAAGACAGACAACTAAATATTGGCAAATTTAATAAAGTGTGTGTGTACAAATGCTAGAAGTCTAAATACTAAGGGCCTGTCTACACATACAGCGCTGCAGAAGTGAAGCCGTACCGATGCAGCTGTAGCACTTAGTTAAGACACTACCTACGCCAACAGTGTAGGTACTTCACTTCCCAGAGAGGCGGTAGCTATGTTGATGGGAGAAGCCCTCCCATTGACACAGTGCTGTCTACACCAAGAGTTCAGTCGGTATACATACGTCGCTCAGGAGCGTGGATTTTCCACACCCCTGAGCGACGTAGTTATGCAGACGTAAGTGTATAGTGTAGAACAAACCTAAAATGGCTGAACTTGAGTGCCTGGTATTAAATGAGCATATTGTTATAATAGGCATCACAGAAACTTGGTGAAATGAAGATAATGAATGGGACATGATAATACCAGGATACAAAGTATACAGAATAAGTAGCACTACATGTGAAAGCAAGTATAAAATCAAGTATAGTAAAAATCTTAAATAAATCAAACTGTACCATAAAATCTCTATGGATAGAAATTCCATGCTTGAACAATAAGAGTATAGCAGCAGGAATATATTACTGACCACCTGACCAGGATGGTGATGGTGATTTTGAAATGCTCAGGGAGATTAGAGAGGCTACAAAAACAGAAAACCCAATAATAATGGGGGATTACAACTATCCCCATATTGACTGGAAACATGTCACCTCAGGATGGGATGCAGAGATAAAATTCTGAGACACATTAATGACTGCTTCTTGGAGCATCTAGTACTGGAACCCACAAGGGGAGGGAATGCTTGATTTAGTCCTAAGTGGCACACAGGATCTCACCCAAAAGGTGAACATAGCTGAATTGCTTGGTAATAGTGACCATAATGTAATTAAATTTTACATTCTTGAAGGGGGAGGAATACCAAATAAACCCACCATAGTACTATTTAATTTCAGAAAGGGGAACTACACAAAAAGGAGGAAACTAGTTAAAGGAAAATTAAAAGAACAGTCACAAGAGTGAAATGCCTGCAAGCTGCATGGAAACTTTTTAAACACATCATAACTAAACGTACACCCCAAATAAATAAAAAAACCAGTAAGAGGATCAAAAAAAAGCCACCATGGCTAAACAACAGAGTAAAAGAGGCATAGACAAAAAGTGATCCTTTAAAAATTGGAAGTCAAATCCAACTGAGGAAGATAGAAAGGAGCATAAACTCCGGCAACCCAAGTGTAAAAGTATAATTAGGCAGACCAAAAAAGAATTTGAAGAGCAATTAACAAAAGACGAAAAAAATTTGCTGTTAGTTTTTGTAAGTAAATCAGCAGTGGGAAGCCTGCCAAACAATCAGTGGGGCCACTGGACAATCGAGGTGCCAAAGGAGTGCTCAAGGAAGACAAGGCCATTGTGGAGAAGCTAAATTAATTCTTGTATAGGTCTTTACTGCAGAATATGTGAGGAAGATTCCCACATCTGAGCCATTCTGTTTAGGTGACATATCTGAGGAACTGTCGCAGACTGAGGAGTCAATAGAGGTGGTTTTGGAACAAACTGATAAATTTAACAGTAATAAGTCACCACGACTGAAGGGTATTCACTCAGGAGTTCTGAAGGAATTCAAATATGAAATTACAGAACTACTAACTGTGGTATGTAACCTATCGCTTAAATCAGTCTCTGTACCAAATGACTGGAGGATACCTAATGTAATGCCAATTTTTTTAAAAGGTTCTGGAGGCAATCCTGGCAATTACAAGCCCATAACTTCAGTACCAGGAAAACTAATTGAAACTATAGTAAAAGAACAGCATTATCAGACACATAGATGAACACAATATGTTGGGGAAGAATCAACACAACTTTTGTAAACGGAAATCATGCTCACCAATCTATTAGAATTCTTTGAGAGTGTCAACAAGCATGTGGACAAAGGTGATCCATAGTGTACTTGGACTTTCAGAAAACCTTTGACAAGGTCCCACACCAAAGGTTCCTAAGCAAAATAAGCAGTCATGTGATAAGAGGGGAAGTCTCATTCCAGTGGAGTACCGGAGTCGACCGGAGAGCGCTCTGCAGTCAATTTAGCAGGTCTAGTGAAGATTTATCTTGTCTTGTTTACCCTTATCCCTGGTAAGTGTAGACATGGTCTAAGACTGGGATCTCACTAAACTGGGTGACTGGGCAACAAAATGGCAGATGAAGTTTAAAACAAACAAAAGGAGGTATTTCTTCACACAACACAAAACCAACCTGTGGAACTTGTTACCAGGGGATGTTGTAAAAACCAAAAGTATAACTGGGTTCAAAAAAGAATTAGATAAAATTCATGGATGATAGGTTCACCAATGGTTATTAGCCAAAATGGTCAGGGATGCAATCCTACGCTCTGGTTGTCCCTAAACCTCTGACTGTCAGAAGCTGGGATTGGACAGGGGATTGATCACTTGATAATTGCCCTGTTCTGTTCATTCCCCTGAAGCATCTAACGCTGGACAATGTCAGAAGACAGGATACTGGGGTAGATGGATCACTGGTCTGACCTAGGATGGCCGTTCTTATGTTCTTAAGAACATTAAAGTTGCAAATTCGAGCACTCAACAGTTAGGCACTGTACAGACATACAACAAAAACGGCAAAGTGCCCCAAAGAGTTTACAATCTGTGTTTATGTTGAAAAAAGAGGTTGATACAAGAATCATAGGGATACGAGAGTACTCAGCTGAGGCTATTTTAAGTTTATGCAAGTTTTAAGTACTTATTTTGTACTCCAATAAACGTTAAAAAAAAACAGCAAGTCACCTCTATCATCCTATCCCCTTCTCTCGGGCTGGTGTAATACCCAAACATCTAGGAGTGAAGGACAGAGTGGTAACCTAAGACTGAATTTCCTCGTTTCTCAGAACTTTTATTTATTTTAAGGTATTATTTTGTCTCTGTTTAATTCAGCATCTGTCTACTACAGTGCACCTATATAAATAAAAGGCAAAGTTATGATCTCGGACAATTTCAATATACAGAATACTGTAATATTTTATTATGCAAATGTAGGAGAAGTAAAGTGAAGACAAGTTTATTTTTCCAATCAGTTTCTAAGCTGGCCTCTAAAAACGCATTACTCAATTAGTTCAAGAATAAAAGGTTATGTACTTGTTCAAGCTGATCATTGTGACTTGTCATTTTAAAAACATTAACAGAACAATCTAAACTCAAAGAAAAATGTCAGCATTACTTCATGAAAACTCAGGGCTTGATTTTTAAAGCGTTATATGTATTACCGAAAGCACACCATTACGTATACAACTACGTGCCCCATTTTCATGTATGTACCCTAACTATGCATGCAAACCAGATGCTGGTACATTTCAGTGGCCACATGGATACAAAACTGACCATGTATGTGTAGTCATGTTAAATGCATGATATTATACAACTTGTTTGAAAAAAATCAAGCTCAGCATCTCTTACTAACGCTCATTCTCTGACTAACAAAATCAGAGACGTCTCAAACTTTTACTCTAGATTAAGAAACAAGGAAAGTTGCTTTCATCCTGACAAAATGCGCTTAGTGTTATTGAACTGAAGTTTAATTTACCCCGTCACTTTCAAAGTCTTCAAATTATTTAGTTTACTGATCTGAGAATTTCCCCTCCCCTCGCCAACAAAATTAGTCTCCAATCATGCAATATGGTATACTTATGACACATAAAATATATGGTGTTCCAATACAGAATATGTCAGCAAAAGGGAGTAACTAGTTAACCGGAAGAAGACTTTCAATCAGTATAAATGGATAAAAACAACCTGGGATATTTTAGCTATATAAAATCTAATGCAATGCATGGATTATGAAAAGCAATATTTTCCAAAAATAATTATTCTTCAAGCCAGAAAAGATGTTTATATTACACACATTACATATGATGCAATCAAAATAGCAAAAATTATAGGTTTTAAATTAGGATGCAGGTGTTGTCACGTGTCTGCTTCTTTATAAGACAAAATTAATAAAAGCAGCACAATTACTTTGCCTTTATCTTTGTGAGGTCCCAAATCATTATTAAAGTCATTTAAGATCATCCCCTCTTTTTCTATCCTCATATGAGTAACCTTACATCAAGATCATAACCCTGCCTTCATAACAACGCAGGGTGTTGTCAATGAAATTATGACACAAAATCAGCATTTAAACAACTTCTCTGCAGGATCAAGATAGAGGTGAAGCTAAGGATTTCCTCCCTCACAGCCTGTTTAAACACATCTCTTTGCTAACAGGCAAAAGGAATTATAAAAACATATGATGGGTAAATAGAGAAACATAAAAAGCTCCACCCCATCCAAGATTCGATTTCAAGAGTCACTTGTATGAGAAGCAGCAAAGAGTCCTGTGGCACCTTATAGACTAACAGACGTATAGGAGCATGAGCTTTCGTGGATGAATACCCACTTTGTCGGATGCATGTAGTGGAAATTTCCAGGGGCAGGTATAAATATGTAAGCAAGAGTGAGTAAGGCTAGAGAAATTGTATGAGAAGAAACACATTTCAGAGTTTTAAATACAGCCACAGGCAGGAATTCATCAGATGCTCTTTCACCTACATCCAGTGCATACACAGGCATATGTATGCCTGGTGGTGCAAGGATGCATGTGTAGAGCAAATCCAAAATGAAGGCCAGGACTTCTAATCTATTGGTCTCAAAAAGTCTTCTACAGTTTATTCCAAAGGTCTGATACACTCCCACCACCAGTTAACAAAAAGAAAGGTCACATTTTCACATCTATGATGTAGCCAGAGGACTATATGTCAGAACCATGAATAAGGCAACACGCACACACTCAGGGTTCCGATGCTTCAGTCTCTTGATTACTATTACCCCTTACTCAGCATTACATTGTAGCTGAGTTCTCTATTCTGCTTCCTCTCATGCCTAAAAGTAATTTGCATTGATGTAAGATCATCTATCCGAAGGCCTCAAAACACTACATTATTAACAATGGATTACACCTTGCAATCCCCTGTGTTATGTCCATTATTATTAATATTTTTATTGTGATTGGGCCCATCGATCCCAGTTAGGATAAGCACCCCTTTGGGCTAAGCACTGTACAGACAGATATGAAGATGCAGTCTTTACCCTGAAGATCTTATATATTCAAGCAGAAAAGAAACAAACAGTGATAAAGACAACATGTAAGAAAAGATCTAAAGGTAAAAGGGACCAACAAGATTTTATAGTTTGCTTTGTACTCCCCCCACACACACACCAAACGATCCCATTTGTCATGTTCCTCTGTACCAGATATGGACTGGCTACCCAGCTTGCTTATACACACCAGATGTGTTCATCATAAGATCCTTTAATGCTCTGCCAGGTATGGCTGGGGTTCATTTAAATAAGATACTTTACACACCGTGTCTACCATTTACAATATTGACATTATCACCTTGTCTTTGAAGTTCAGTACGTATCAGTCTGTTAAGTGTCTCTGAATCATACTGGTTTTCTAATTACATGACATAAACTCATAACAACTTGGTCATCTGGCTGTCCACTAGTTGCAACCACTGGCTGTGGTCAGTTTGGAATACTTTAGTCTTCTTCATGGGCATAGTTTGTGGGGACTGGAGGAGGTATTGCCCCCCAAACTGCAAGTCTCAATCAGGTGTGGAACCTGGGGTTAAGTTGATTTGAGGGAGGATGGTAGATTAAAATCATAAGAATCCAGACACTGTCTGTCAATTTATAATTATTTGTTGAAAGTCAAATTTGAGGCCTAAAAATATTGATAATGTCCTTTTAACTACATAATGACATAGCATGCCAATGAATACCCATAAAATAAAGACCCTGAACAATATGCAGTATTCTGTTCTTATACTACTGAGTATGATCAACTTACAATGCTGTATATCTGTCCATTGCAGATTGCACATCTCTACGGTAAACTGTACGAAGAATTACCATGACTGGGTCAAATTCTTTATCCCAGATATCAGCTGTTGTTTAAACAAACAAAAAAAAAAGCAAGCATAAGTTAACATTAACTTCTAAACACTATAAATTATTCCAGATTGTTTTGTTAATTAGCTTACAGGAGGCACATGTATTTTATATAATTTTTTAATTTTCTAAATTGTCTTCAGCAGCAGACAATGTAGCTTAGTTTCTTACTTTTTCATACATCAGTGCAGATCTTCACTATTAAAGATATTTTCGTTCAGTTACACAATAAAAATTAAAAAGTAAGAGCACTTCAGGCAATAGATATCTTTCACTAAGCAGCTTGACTTCAATACCTTATAGAATTTCATTTATTTTTGTATAATACCTTACAAAAATACTTGTATGATGCCTCTAAAATGACAACTGACAATAAAAGAAAAACTGGATTTATAAAGGATCATTCAAAAATTATTTTAAAGCCCTGAATAACAGCAGTGTTTCCTTAGTTGTAGTTCACATCCTCACTTTTTCATATTCATGATATTTTGCTTTATTTTGAACTCTTTTAGGAAAAGATAGAATTTGGTAAATACAGCCAGCCATGGAAATAAGAGGTAATGAACATGAGGTAGTTAATGGTTGGATGACATTTAGGGGTTGTCTACACCAGGGAGAGGGGCAAATGGAGGGGTGTTAAACTGGATTAAGTCAAAATAATCCAGTTTGAAAATACTCGTGTATGCACAACACAATTTATTGTAGTGCACTGACTCCGCATTTATGACAAACTCTGGAGTCATCTTTCAAAGTGAACTAACTTTGCTGGAAATCAAGTTAGTACAGTCCATTGTTCATGTGCATGCAATGCTGTTGCAAACTACTTTGGCACTCTTCCAACAGCTGCCCCACACTGCTTTGCAGATGACCATTACCGACCTGTTTACCTGTGTGTCCTCCCCTGCTCTGGAGTCAAGTTAAACAGATGTCCCGCCATTTATCAACTGGCACACAACCAGAATTTGTCCTTTTGCTCATGGATTCCAATTTCTCACCATAGCTACAATAATACTCCAGAAGCCCCACGACATGCCACAAGCAGCTACTTGGAGCTGCACCAAAAACCTGGATCTTGTCACCATCTTGGGAGAAGTGCTGGGGCAGGAAGTTCTTGTAACAGTCACCAGAATAAAGACCTATTTTTGCAGACACTGCTAGACAAATGTCTGCGAGGAGCCAAGACCAGATGCCAAACAGTACTAGATAAAGAGCAAGTAGCTCGGGAGGACCTACACTAAAACAAGGGATGACAGGAAAAAATCTGGCCAGGGACATGCAACTTGTCAACTTCTTGAGATACTGGATAGGATTTTACATAACGATACAACCTAGAAACTTGTGGAGCCTGCTGCCCACTCACCCCTCCACTCCCTCAAGGATGACCAGCAAAACCAGCAAAATTCATCGGATGATGAGCACGAGGAGATCCATAAAGAGATCACCCCAGAAAGCCAGGATCTGTTCAAGACTCAGGATCCTGATACTGAAGATAGGAGAGCCAGATTCCCGACTTGCAATCATCAACCTCGATTCCCAGGCAGCAATGCAGACCAGCACTGAGGAGGCTGATCCTATCGGATTGTAAGTCTTTTAATAATTTTTTAGATAATTTAATATTAAAGTTTTAATTCATTATTGTTATTATTATTGTTGTTATACAGCCTTGCTAGCCTGTGTTCCGGTGCCCCATGGCCACAGTCAGTGTAGGCAGATGTGAGCTAGAAGCCTTTCTGAGTCCGAGGTCTCCACCTCCCTCCCTTAGTCCATGCTGTCTGTTTGGTGCCCCACATACCTTTCCAAGACAGCAGCTACTCTGGTTGGGCAACTCGCCTCCTTCTCATACTAAAGCCCCAACTGCTGACAGTTTTCAGGCCCACACTATGGAAGGGACGTGTCCATGTATCTATTTTCCTTTCCCCTTCCCTCAGCTGTCCTGCCTGGAGAACGCCCACTCCACACACCCCAAATCCAGTTTGCCACCACAAAACGGCAGCTGGCAACATGGCGCAGCTGCAATCTCTACTCTACCCTCCCTCCTGCAGTAGATTCAAATAAGGAAAACATTATTTTGTGTGAAATGAAAAAGTTTATTGAGACAGTGATTACAGGAAAAGAAGTTTGGTTAGTGTTCTGACTTTACACAAGATAGACATCGACACTGCATGCCTATAAGGCCACAAACGGTACAGCTCCCTGCTGACGTACAAATGTCCTGTAACACCATTCTCAGTGATAAGAGTGAATCTTCACGTAATCAGTGCAGAAAGCTAGCTATTTTTCACAGCACTTTCAACATGTCTGCAGGGCAGATAAAGCAAAATCTAAGGCTGAGAGATTGTTGTTCGGCAATTATAAAGAATAGCTGCACTGCCTTCTCCCCAGGGTGGTTCGCAACTCCCTTCCTCACCTATAGCACTTCTGGGGGAGAATCATCTTGGCGAATAACTTCACAGTGTATCTTGCTGGTCTGCCCTTTGCCTTTTTCAGTAAGGACATTCTCTGCCTACTAATCACCCATCTCAGTGAAATGTCATCCAAAGTCAGGACAGCCTAAAGGGGATGTAGAGGGGATTACTATACAACTCCCCCGTTAACTCCTCCAACACCATGTAAGCACCTCCAAGACACACAAATACTGCAAAGGCAGATCAGGAACATAATTCCCAACAGCATTTCCGTATCAGGAACATATTCCCAAACACACATACTCTCCCTCAGCCTCCAAGGCACAACTGCAAAGCCAAACAGTATATACTTGTCATAAATATAAAGGGAAGGGTAACAACTTTTATGTATGCGAGTACCGACCAGACCCTTTGTCTCTAGGACACTGAAAATCAATCAGGTTCTTTAAGGAAGAATTTTATTTAAAGAAAAAGTAAAAAAAATCACACCTGCAAAATCAGGATGGAAGGTAACTTTACAAGGTAATAAAAAGATTTAAACACAGAGGATTCCCCTCTAGGCTCAGCTTCAAAGTTACAAAAAACAGGAATAAAACTCACTCTTAGCATAGGGAAAATTCACAAGCTAAAACAAAAGATAATCTAATGCATTTCCTTGCCTCTACTTACAATTTCTGTAATTTTAGATGTATCATTTCAGGTATATTTTCAGGATATATTTACCTGCTTAGTCTCTCTCTCCGTCCAGAGAGGGAACAAACAAAGAGAGCACAAACAAAACCTCACCCCCTCCCAGATTTGAAACTATCTTCTTTCCTTTTTGGTCCTTTTGGTCACGTGCCAACCAGGTTATTTGAGCTTCTTAATCCCTTACAGGTAAAGTGATTCTGTACCTCTGGCCAGGAGGAATTTTATGTTACTGCATACATAAAGGTTGTTACCCTTCCCTTTATATTTATGACAATACTGCAAAGCCAAAAATCCCAATGCATGCATCACTTACCATCTCCAAGATTCCCTCCCGCCTGGATAGAATCTCAGGGATGGTAAAGCCAGAAATATGTGCGAAAAAATTGCTATCACATTCTCCCTAGAACATAACCATAACCGCTTGTTATGAACAAATACCCCGCACAGCTATGGCACCCTGCATTGGCCAGACCATTAAGGACAGGGATTTTATCAATGGCGGAGGGCTGGCAAACCTGAGCGAGAGAAAACGGAAAACTTGTGATAAAATGTTCATGGACATCATTTCAGAATCCATGCCCCCCACCCTCCACCAAAAAAATCCCACCCCCACATCACCACACCACGAGAAATCCAGAGAGGTGGAGGCAGAGGGCTGTGTCTGACGACGGGAATGGAATCCAACAAGAAGATTTCCAGGGAGATTGTTGCAGTGGAAAAGGACCGCATGTCAGTTACCAGGGAAAGCACTGTTGTGGCCAATGACAGTATGGAAAAAAAGATAGTGAGATGCAGTGGCAACACCTGGAGGCAATTCAAAGCCAAGATGCCCTGTTGCAATGCACGCTACTACTAAGGCAGCAGGCAATGCAGTACTGCAAACCAACACCCAGCCACGTTATACAGCCCCTACAACAGCGGTTCTCAACCTTTTCCTTTCTGAAGGCCCTCCCCAACGTGTTATAAAAACTCCACAGCCCAGCTATGCCACAACTACTGTTTTTCTGCATATAAAAGCCAGGCCAGCATTAGGGGGTAGCAAGCAGGGCAATTGCCCAGGGCCTCACGCAACAGGGGGCATCGTGAAGCTAAGTTGCTCAGTCTTTGGCTTTAGCCCCACGTGGTGGGGTTTGGGGCCATGGGCTACAGTCCTGTGTGGCGGGCATTTGGCTTTCTGCCCTGGGTCCTAGCGAGTCTAATGCCAGCCATGCTTGGTGGATTCCCTAAAACCTGCTCACAGCCCCCCAGGTGGCCACAGACACCTGGTTGAGAACCACTGCCCTACAACACAGGCCTCTGGGAACAACTCCTCCTCCCCCCTGTACACCTGCAGCACTGCTCCCAGAAGCCATTCCCCAGCTCGGGGCACTGAGAACAGTGGCACCTGGGACCCCAGCTCCTTTGAGCCTTCTACGGCCCCTAGTAATTTTGAGCTTCAGCGCTCAACACCAGAGGTGCAACAAACAAGAAGAGGCAGAGCCAAGCCATATACTTGCCTGTGACTTCAAGCTTCTTAATCGTTGAGTTGACTCCTGCCTGTTGCACTTCCCTGTTTTGTTTCATTACTCTTCTAAGAAAGGGCTCTTTGTTTTTAATATAGTTTTTCATAATTAAAAAAATATTGTTTCATTTTCGTTTCAGTTGAAGATTCATTTCTGTTTGTTACTCACAGATTATTTAATAATAAAAACCTTTAAAATTTCATTTCTAAGAAGTTAACAGCTCATTTTTCACAGAAAATAATTAAGTTTGTACTAATTCATAAGGCTTTACAAAGACATGGAGGCAGAGACACAAGGTATAAGACAGACTGCCACAGGATTGCATTTCCACTGCCATAAAAAAAACCACTGAGCTGCACAAAAAACTTCCAGCCTTTCCCCCCTCCGCTGGTTAACAGC